ACCAACGCAAGAAAACATAAATGAAAACTGGGAAACTATAGAATCCTTATTTTCACTGTAGGACAACATTTGCTAGCAAGGTTCGTTACTTAAACTAAACATGTTCTCACTTCTTTAATGGCTGCAATCTTATAAAGAGAAAGTCTCCTTGTTGCCACTAGCAACTGATACATCAGAGTCCAACTATAACGTTTATTCTTATTTTGAAATTTAGCTCAAGCCATGTTTTTCTTCTTCCTACCTACATCATATGATACCAAAACGTACATAGATAAACCACATATAAGAGACATACGTTTAAAGTCGATAATAACTTATATAGGCTCGAACTGACCAACCCTTTAATAAATAGAACATTTTTACCACTTGATGACAACAGGGCCTCCCTTTATCATATAAGCATTCCGTTGATAACGATGACCTCGTAATATATGCCTCGCATCAACAGCAATGATAAATGCATTCAACAATTATTATTTTTTCACAACAATTTGAAACACTTACAGTATTTATGGCATTCGTTATAGTCCTTACATAAAGAAATGCCATCCATTCAATTTTAAATGTCAATGTATTCTGACAAAAGTAATTATTTATCCATGACGCTTTGATCAGACAATAATCACAACTTCCGGAACCCAATTTGCGGCAATTTGCATAATAATGAGTACGACAATATTGTTTAACATTGGTACCCTTTCAATCATAATTCGTGGGAAATCCCTGTTCAAACTGGTGTACGTGCGCGTCATTTTACTGCATATGTCCGTGTCTTTAATTGAGTGACATGTTCTGCTGTACAAGTTATTATATGGAATACAGTAAAATGATATGAAATAAGACCTTTCAGTTCTTGTATAGCTGTTTGTGTTGTTTTATAGGCGGCATGAAAATTTTATTTGCATGTACATCATTTTACATGTATTTGATAAGGGTTTCTTTGCTCTTTCAAATACTACATGTGCAATTGCTACGTAAAAGTACAAATCCCGAGAAGATGAGGTCTAAATATGGCATTAAATACGATAGTTGGAGCAATCTGGTGAACTTCTTAACATTTTATTTGATAACATTTTGAGATCATGGGTGGTTACTGTAAGCGTATGAAAAAGTTACTTATAAGAAAGTATATGGGAGAGAAGGCCAGTTTATAATGAAGCACTTAAAAAAAGAAAGCAACGGAAGCAAAGTTGATAAACTTAAGTAAGGGTATCTCCTGACATTTCAGCTAAAAAACGTGAGGAAAGCATTCTTCTTTGGAACTGGCACTATGAATAAAACTCGTTTTTCTGAAAATAAACTTTACGTATACCAAGAATAAGAATGAGAATATTAGTTTACACTGCAGTCTCATTAACAATTCGTAAATAATTAACAAATCAATTATTCAATTTAATTACGTTTAATGTAACTGGTCACATTACGGTTTGTAAGAGGCTATATAGTCTTAGATATTGCATTTTACGCGTACCCTGCTTGAATAAAAAAAGTGATTTCCCTTTGCCTTTCAGCATAGAGGCAAGTCTGACCTGCGAGCTGTCCGCTTACAAACTTTCATTTTTCATCTCGAAATCTCAAACATCGATCATTCACATCCCAAAGATGGATGCAGGATAATCTTAGGCTATGTTAAAGTTTACTAGTAAAGTTCTACTTTAATATTCAAAAGTCAAATCGAATATCAACACAGTCTTATTGTCCTATTCCCATCTCCACTATCTGTAGGGAAGTAAACATAACGCAGAATTGTGCAATTTTATGGCCGAAAAGAGCATCACGGTTAGTAAATTCAAAGTAAATCAAAATGAAAGCATGGAACTTACGCAAACAGTTGCTGAGACATTATATTTCAAACCTCAAAAAAATATTTCCACAAAAGTTTTATTTTTTAAGGACACTCGAAAGGGCCGAGAGGACGCGATTGCATAAAAAATACCTGGATTATTTTACTTTAATATGATGCCAGGGATTTGGCAAATGTCTAAAGCCTTTATATGCGTTATTGTACTAACCATTATTAACGAAACACAATAGTCGCTTTCAAAACAGAAATCAGGCCGTCATTCTTACAAAAAATATAAAAAAAGTAAACATAATCCGTGAAATATTTCGAATGGCAAATGCTAGTTACAGTAAGTATGATATAGCGCGTTTTATTAATGGGAGGTAACTCGACGCTACATCTTCGAACAAATGAGTACAGAGTTATTTCTCTTACAATGCCCTGAATAAAATTTTCCTTTTCAGTAAATCAAGTCTGTTTGGTATGAATAATTCCTAGATATAAGGATATTCTGTAAAATGGTGTCTATCCTTACTGAACAACTATACTTTAAAAGCGACTATGACACCATCAAGCATTAGTTAACAAAATAAATTATTATACATAATTTTATAGGTGACTGTGGTAAATATCGTACATTAACGTTACCATTATAGATCCACATACATCTCATCTTTTACAAAACTTGTTAAGGATCATTTTTTATTTGAAAGCATACTCTAAATGAAAGAAAAGAAACTAATTTGTCTTAACATTTATTATAATACATTTCTATTGCATCTTTGTTCAATCATATTCAAATATATACAAATTATAAATGTAGTTTGTAAAAACATAAAGAAAATCTTGACTATTATTAATATTCCTTAATAATGTAAATAATGATGCAACTATGGCATCAAAATGAGACACTGATGATTTACTATAATAATGGTACAATAACTTGACAATGCGTAAATTAATTAATACATATACACTCACCAGAATTAGAAATAACAGAATCGTTTATTTCAATCATTTCATGGAACATGAATAAATGAAGAACAAAACCTTTTTAACTTTCCCTTCATATCTATGTCAATCTATCTCAAATAACCTATTATTTTAGTTCATTTCAACATAAATATCCTGATAACAATTGACTTTCTATAAATTCTAAATCGCACACCATGTCTTTTAAACTAATAGTCTTGTAGAACTTTTATTCTTTAAACTTTTTACATTTGCATATAAATAATTTCTTTTATTAACAGTTCCCTGACAACGCTTCTGCAAGTCATAATCAGAATTGATTGTTAAGCAGTATGATGTAGAAATAACAAACAAATGATCTTAATTCATTTCAACTTATATAATATGCCAGTAATAAACTATTTATTTTAGTTCATTTCAACATATATATGCTAGTAACAAAGTTATTAACATAAAAATGCTTTAACAAAGTTATTATCTTAGTTCATTTCAACATAATAATTATTGTACCAAACTACTTACTTTAGTTTATTTAAAATAAATATACTTGTTAACTAAGTTATTGCCTTACGTTCATTTCAAAATAAATAAACCAGTAACAAACTATCTTAGTTCATTTCAAAACTAAATATACAAGTATACATTAAACTTATGTTGTTAACTTTATCTGTTTGATAAATCTTAAAGAGAATTGATCAGGTGATAAAAAATGTTCATCAAAACATGTGCAGACTTAAACTTCCAAAAAGACAAAAATCAAAACATCATTAACTAACAGCACAATATTACACATAGCCAAAATAACAACAATAATGTAACATCAACATTATCATTTTCCAAATGAAATAAAATCGAAAAAAATCAAGTAAATAGAGATTGTTGATTATTTTAATGTATGGTCAAGTCTAAGGAGTTTTGCACTAATTGATTATAACCCTGGCTACTCAGTCCCATGGAATAGCATGGAATACTTAACCAGAAAATGCCCTATTCAATAGTATAGAGATATGGTAAATTCTGCACTAAATGCCGTAAAGTGATCACATCTGACACTATTTTAATGTCTAAACAAAAAACCTGGCTGTAAAGAAGACATATAGAAGGTAAAACTTGTTTCTCTCGTACTCCATGCGTAGCAGGCTGGGTTAAAATTTACTTGAACATTTAACCTAAGTCATGTAAGTATGATAATGATGATCACATAAGCATTATAACCTTAAGATCACAAAAACATATATACTTCCTAGGAAAATATATAAGATCGTTCAGCTTGACCGGGCTGGAACTAGTTACATTGTTAAACTGTGCTGGTTTTTAACCAGAATTGAAAAGTGCACAGAAAATATGTATATACATTGTAAAAGATTATATGTTTAGGTAACATTCTTCATTTAAGTTATGATGATTTTATGTGTAAATACAGACTAAACTTTTATATAAAACAGTATTAGTAACACATTTGGAATAAAGTAGACAAAATCATTAAACAATGTTTTTATAAGACTTGTGGTATGGGGATGAACTAACTCAATAATAACCTGACAGTAAAGTAACACTGTAAACACATTTAACAAAGACAAAAAATATAACATTTGTTCACTAAATACTTGTACAAAAGTGTAATAAGTACATATAATAATGGCAGGATGTATTGTATATGATATATATTGCACCAATTACCATACAATATTGACAATACTACATTGCTGACTATGATGACTAGATTTATCCTTACTTATATAGCTACACAATGTTTAGAAAACCTCACAAAATTTATGAAAGTTAATTAATACATGTATAAAGAAATGAGGACTGGCAGACAGCAAACTCAACTAGTGTCGGCACTTGACAGATAATACAGATAATCGAAAGGCCAATTAGGAATTTTCATAGGTTCACAAATGGTCACAATTCAGTAATAACGCACACTAGAGGGTCCTAGAATGTAATATACAATTATGACCATGAAGATATGTGTGAAGTTTTAACTCATACACCTTACTGAACAATAGACATTGAATACCAAATCGTAACTAACATTCAAGAAAAAAAGAAGCTTTATAAAAGGTGAGCTGTAAAAAGTGTAGGAAAATAACAAGTTATTACATTTTGTATTTTGGAGGAAATCTTACCATTAAGTTAATTTTCAGTTAAAATAAATTACTTTGTTTATCATTCCTTACCACTATACAAGCAAAATTAGTACACCCACTCTTTGAACACAATCATAGTTTATATCAATTCATATCCCAAAGATATGTGTGAAGTTTCAAAAGAATACTTTCAGTGGATTTTAAGAGGCAGGTTGATAACCTTATAAACTTAACCAAGTATGAATTTGATGCTGACAAGCTTCGGACTGCTGACTTTATTATTTTAATAGTCCAGCTAAATATGCAGTTTAGTTTAAAACACAGTGCAGTATGGCTTAAGTCAATATCAAAGAATCAGAAAATATAATTGAAACTCTATAGACTTAAATGTATGTTATAACATAATTGAAATTCTATCAACTTAAAGTATATGTTATAACAGAGCTGCTGTAAGTTATTAAATGTCACATGATCTGGTACATATTTTGATTGAAGTCAACACTGTCTCTACAAACATATCTGCCAATAAATTAAATTCCCTTGTCCAACTTCAGCCTGTCATCTGACCAATCCTGAAATAATAGAAATAACAATTTAAAGATACATTATGCTCCAATTTGAAACTTGAAAATTCTGATAATTGCTAAATAGTCTCTATGTTATACAGTCTCAATAACATCTTTTGAGTACAAACAAGGGACATATTTTGCAATTTAAACTCTACATACTTTAGGTAAGCATAGATGGAAGACCTAGTCATTAAAAAAAACCTGGCAGGTTTTTAAAGGATCAAATTAACTTGACCATTTATAGGGAATGCAACCTCCCATACATTGTTTGCTCATTCTCTTATTCAACTTAGAAATATTCAGTAAAAAAATTCTAGATTTTCTAGAAATTTCTGCAATAGAAATATTTAAGCCAAAAATAAGCATATTGCATCTGTAAGAATATGTGATATAACTGCTTGAGTGCATCTATAAGAATATGTGATATAACTGCTTGAGTGCATCTGTAAGAATATGTGATATAACTGCTTGAGTGCATCTGTAAGAATATGTGATATAACTGCTTGTATAGCCTTTATCTATGTAATTAAATACGGGACTTATAGTAATCAGAAAACTTTACTTTAACATATTGTTTGACAATACTTACACGAAACTACTTATTATTCTTGAGGTATTTTTTGTAGTTTCCATGGAATTATTACTATCAAAATATGCAATTTAATGCTACCTACAGGCTGTCCAGCACCCTCTGACAAAAAATTAGGGCAAATTTTAGGGAAATTTTTAAGAAATTTTAGGGCTAAAATTAGGAATTTTAGGGTAAGTGAAAGAAATTTTAGGGCTAAAATTTGGAATTTTATAACTAAATTATGGCCCCAAAAGACCATGATTTGGGCTCAACTTTGCATATTTGATACAAAAGTAAGTAACTCACAAATAATGCTCTAGTTTCAGATATAACAAAAGTGTCTACCAGTGTTCCATAGTCAGCTGTGAATAAATAGATTCACTGGTCAACTGCCTTTAACTGCCTACTATGAATAAGAGCTGAAAAACTTAACTACATTAAAACATAACTAGAATGAAAACATTTTTAAGTTATGAGTATCCCAGAACAACCAATATTCAATTAGTTAAGCTGTTATTTGCCAATAGTAAATAGAAAGAGAAATTATGCTTTAAATTTATTATAGCTATAAATGCATAAAAAATTTATCAACAATTATTCATTTTAAGATTGGTACAGTTTGAACAAGTCTTGATCTTTCTTAAAAAACAATAAAAACAATATGACCCACTCAAGTCATTCCCATGAATATTCTTATTTAAATTCAAACAGCAGGGTATTCACCACTAAAGAATTTGTTAAAAATAAATTAGGGCTACTAAAAATTGTAGAAATTTCACAACAGAGTCAATCTATGCAATGATTTTTAACAGTGTTTTTTTTTTCCAAATTTAATAAAAACATACACTTAATGTTATAACATATTTACAGTACATTGCATTGGTATAACTAATGTTAATGTGTACAAAAAGGGCAGCTGAAGGGGTCACTTCTTACTTCTTAGTACGCTAATTGGGGTGCAAAATGGTAAAAGCATCCAATCATTAAAGCCAGTTTACCTTTCCCACTTTATAATATTACCAAATATGGAAACTTGTCTAGATCTGCCAGCTGATATCACTTACAAAAGATCTATTCTGCAGTCATCACTTGAAAATAACTTGATTACAAATTAAGATTTTATCAAAAAGGTCCCCTACATAAAGTCTGATGAAATTTTGTGGTACATCATAAATAGTTGCTTTAAATACACCTAAGACTGAGGTAAATGGTAAAACTCTGAAGTAAATCAAAAATATAACTTGCTTGGAAATTTTTTTATCTCTATTTTAAACAAGTGACCATTTTGAGATAGTCAAAGTCGGATAATTTTCATTGTTCCATTTAAAACAAACAGTTTCTTATTATTTTTCTGAAAATATCTGGCAATAAATCAAGTATGACATTTCTGCAGAAGTTGAAGTAAATACAACAAGTGACTTTATGCAATTTAGTCAGGTATGACATCAGCGCCATTGACTGTGTTAAAATTTAGGTTGTGATTGAAAAATGGTTGTTTCGGGATATGTTATAACAAAAGATAAAAAAATAGGAATTTCAGTGAAAAAATAGGGCATTTTTAGGAATTCCCTTTGAATTTTTCATTTTTTTAGGAATTTTAGCCAAACTGAAAAAAATTAGGATTTTTTAGGAATTTTAGGGACGCTGGACAGCCTGTACCTAGTACATGCATGTTTTGGTAATGCTGTATGTTAAATAAGATATGAGTATTAGTGCAGTAGTTCTGTATTTCCCAAAATCACAGATTTTAATCCTTGATGAAATGAAATATTCATTTTTAATTCATAATTCAATCATTTTATTAATTTCTCCCTAAAATATTTACAGTAAAAGTGAAGAGGTGGGTAATCTGTTTAATATCTGGGTCTTTTTTTCCATCTTCTTTGCTGATGGATAAGAAGACATTGCAAGTGGTAAGTGACAAAGATGTATATGAAGAAATGGTGGGTTGTAAGAAACAAAGATGCATTGTTTTCATTTTTTTATCTTACGTACCTAGATAATCTTCCTGGTGGAATGAATAAAGGCCATTTTGTACACCCTGAGACACAATATCTGGTAAAATACCTGAAAATAAAATACACAGAAATGAATTACTCTCTGTGTGAAACATTCTGACTCAATTAAAAAGTATACATAAACACATGTGTTTGTACAACAATTAAAACAAATAATTATAACAACAAATAGCAATTATTTTTTATTGGAATTGCAACTGTTTCATACACAAACAATTATCGTGGCTAGTAAAAAGTTCAACTACTAAATTTGTCAAAGAAACTAGGGAGACTATTTCAGAAAACTTACACATGCTGTGAAAAGTGACCTTTTTGTAGAAAAGCATCAATTATTGAGACCCTAAATGACTGAGAGCAAAGAAAAGCCAGTAGGAACATTGTTTACGATAGATAAATTGAAATTAAGAATATAGAACAGTTTTATATTACGAGACAAACTAATATATTTAAGTAATTTTTGTTTCTAGTTTTGTAATGTTTTATGTCACATCAACACATAGGTCATGTGGCATTATTTCAGGCATGACGGGCAACTGAGTAGAACCACCATCATTCCGTAAGCTAGCTGGATAGCTTCCTCACATGGATGAATCCAAATCCCTGTCAGGATTCGAACCCACAGCAGTTAGGGACAAGTGATTTAAAGTCAACGACCTAAATTACTCGGCAACAGATGCCCCTTACTGTATTAAGTTACAATCATGAATGTGATAAGAATTCACTGGTATCAAATAAATGTTCTCTTATTAAATTAAGAGAACATTTATTTGATACCAGTGAATTCTTATCACATTCATGATTGTAATTTCAAAATTGAAAAACTAATTAGGAATGACAATAATCAAAACAAGAATAAATACTTCTGTAATTTTCTTGAAGAAAAGAGTCTTTGATAAATCCCACCATGGGCTGATGACTCACTGCCGGTTCTGATAGACCTACATCCAGTGAACTGTAAATCAAAGTAAAACATTAATATACCATTGCTTTCTTGTAACGAATAAAACAATTTTGTATATTGTTTGTATCATGAACTTGGCCTCCTAGGTTTCAGAAATACCTGTTATAATTTCATTGCAATTGTTTCTGTCATGGACACAGTTGAAAGTCTTTTTACCTATATTCCATACAAACAGAGACCCCTAGGGCTATGATTTATAAAACATTTGTTGTCACATATACACAATGCTATTTCAATATTTATATAATCAATATCTTAACCATATGTCTGTTTCATATCAATTGAGTATATACATGTATCTCTTAAGTCTTAATGATTTCTGCAACAGAAAAAGATAGAAAAAGTGGACAGGGACCATCAACAGGACACTTTTTGAACATTTTTCCATATAGTTTTCACAATTTTAAAGGTAGATACTTGGAAATTTAACACAGTAAAGCTAGGTTCTTCTTGAAATCGATGAGCTAGTTTGTTTATATCTTTGAGGCCTCTGCAGGGGGTATCAAAATTTCTTAAATTGTCCTTATTACAGGTAACCAGGTGTCCGGACAAATCTATAATTCTTTAATATAATTCAGATAATGGCTTTACATTGATTCTCCACTAAACATTCAAATTAGGCTGTAAGTAAAAGTGAATAATTGACATTTGCGCATAGTTACCCAGACACATTTTTTAGTTGGTACAACTCATGTATAACATTGAACACATACTGGTTCTTTTAACATTTCACCAAAAAACTTGTAATATTTTCTGAAATTAAGTTACCTGCAAGAATTCGAAATTTGTACAAAAACAGATACGTTACCATTTTCCCAATTGCTTTCAGAGACTAGATAGTAATAATTAGCATGAATATACACGATTTAGAAATTAATTATCATTCTTTCAGCATTATAGCACCAGTATATATTACAAAATATTATGCATTAATATGCGTTTTAAAAAAAATCTACGTCTAAGAATAGCTTGTGAACTTAAGCTGATGAAAATGTTACTTATTAATCAGACTTGTTTATTCCAAATACATGAGTTACTTATAAAAGCATTTTAGGTCAATAAAAATACTGATGTTCCATACTTATCTATTGACACAATGTAGCTCGGATTTACTTAACAGTATAAATTTATTCCGCTCAGTGGAAACAAATATTAAATCATAGTAACGTATCTGTTTCACAGTTCTTCTATGTACAAAATAATGAAAAACCCTGAACACATAGATAGATATCCATAAAGTTTTTTAAACAACTGACCAATAAATAATATGTCTGAACCAGTACTTTTAATATTAAACAGAACACACAATATCATTTAAAGTTTTTTTTAAGGTTTTATTGTTTTATGTGTAGCTTCAAATAGTCAAATAACATTGTGACTTTAAGAAACAGATTGAACTTAACAAGAACATTTGAATAAAGACACTCATCTATTAAATGTGTAGCAGCTAGATTAATGTGAGTGTTTCTGACATAGACTAGTGTGAATTGACATTCTGTTGTCTTTTTGGTTCATCTGCTGTTCAATTGTCTTTATTTTTTCTATATACGTTTTCTTTATATACTGGTACAATCTCGATCCTTGATTTTGTCAAACTTCGTGATATGAGTTAGCCTACATGTATATCCTTATATACATTTTAACAAAATTATATCAGAAACAATGGTACTGCTTAAAGAAAACCAACTTAGTATAATAATCAATACATATATATGTGCACCTCCAAGATTTTGAGCTATATCCAATTAGTCCATCCCTACCATAGACAGAAAATCTTGTTGGACCCTGACTAAAATTTAGAAACTAACGGGCATTCATTTAAAAATACATTAATATGTTTTTTTTTCATAAAGTTACAGGGCTGTTATATATTGCCTAACCATATATTACTTATTTAAACCAAAGTTTTGTTGAAGATTTAGTTATATATATTAAACAGTACTCAAATCTCATTCGAAACAGATACGTTACTATGATAAACAGATACGTTACCAGAAGTTATACAGTCCTCTACATTTTATTTTAACACAAATTTTGCAAACCAAAAAGATTTCAACATATATTTATTCCAGGGAATAAAACAGTAAATCTTTATATGTTTCTTTCCTGTTTTTCAACATTTTATTTTCTAGAAAACTCAACTAATCCTTGAATTTCAAATTCCTGATTCACTTTTTTAGTTTTCCAATAAAATCGAGATCAAAGCATCATTTATTGGCTACACGTACGTTATGCTGTGATTTTTTACATGAAACCATTTCAAAATTGAGCAAAATCGGCAATTAAGATTCAAACAATAAATATTGGTAACGTATCTGTTGGTAACGTATCTGTTGGTCAAAAAACTAAAATATATCAGATATACACACATGTTTGCCAAATATATTGAAATATTAAGTTTTGTAAAGTACATATTTGAATAATGCATAAATGCGAATCTGCTTTTAAGTACTGGTAATAGTAAATATTTCTCAGTGGGATATCATGGTAACGTATCTGTTTCACTTTAAAGTATAATCCAAATTGCCTCATCATTGCAAAGGCATTGTGGTTCTAGCATGTATATTGTCGTCAAAATTATTTTTGAATAATGAAATATGATAAAACTTGAGTTCAATAGCAAACTATTAATATGTTACAAGTTCATATTACTCTTACTCAGGTTTACCTGAAGTTTGGTAACGTATCTGTTCAATATATGAGGGACATGCATTTCAGCTGGTAACTTTTTTTCAAATTCACTATAGAAAACAATAAAAATCGCTCACTTAGACATTTAAACTAAAACTTAATACTAAAGCAGTTTTTCTTCAACACATGTTTCAGGTGAAAATATGTAAAACCAACAGTTATATGGGACCCAAGCCTGGGGACATTACATAAATGGTTATACAGTACCTTTGCATGATAATATTTTCGTATAAATCCAACAGACTAAGTCATTAATTTGAATGTTTTACATACTTGACTATGTAATGAAGCAATGGAATGCCCAAAAAGTATTTTTCAACTGCAGTGCAACAAAATATACTCGAGGGACAGAATATTTTCTAATTTGCACGTTTAGTGGAGAATCAATGATTAGTTTTATTTTTTTATTTTTAACCTAAAATATAGTATTCCAGCAGCATATTCTGAAAATTTGATTATTTATTTGTTAATTCTGAAAATGATTAAAGCTAGTAAAAGAGATCTGGTATTTTACACTTGACGACAAAATTTTCAACTATTAAGATTAAAACTATTAAGATTAAATCAATTTAATCAATTAATCTTATAAGAAATATGCACAACTTATTGATATTAGAGTGGCTGATTGATTGACAGCCATTGATCAAAGACAATAACTAAATCAAGTGTTTATGGGCCCGTCCGGGTTTGATAGTCGTCTGGTTTTGGTGGCCTCCGACCAGTAGTATTCAAAATAACATGAAAAGGTATAATAATTTTAATGACAAAGCAAAGGTAAAATATTATCTAAAATGCCTTCAGATTTCAACAACTCAATAAATTGTGGTAAAAACACCAAAATGTTTTCATAATACTTACACCATTTTATGCTTTTTGTACGCATTTTCATTATGAGATAATCTTTACTTTTAACAAACTTTTACAGAGACTATAATGATATTATCTTGCCAATTTTAAGTGTAATAAGCTTTTTAACAATGTCTGATATTATTTACAAAAATATTGTTTTTGTTCCATAGAAATCAAGGCACAGTCAAATCATTAAATGAACACTAGTATTTGAATTGTGTTTGCACTACAAATTCTACCGACTTCATCTAGATCTACCAATTTCAAACTGAAATAACTTTGTTTAGTTTACAAACAACTGTGGCTTGCACCAATGCAGGATGCAATTTCTATAAGTTATACAGAGTGGAAGTCTACCAAATTTTCCTTTCAACAATGTCTTTGCACTTATTTTCATTTTTAAGACATTTAATAATCCCTTTCTAGACATACACATATTGTGAACAGAAATACACTTACTCAAAGCTTCCAGATCTAGGTAAATTTACTTCTAAAAATTTCAAGAAAGATCTTGGTATAGTTTCACCCTCTAACACACCCTGAAAAATACAACCATTTTGCAAACATCTTTAAATGACCTAAAAAATATATATAGGTGTATTGTATATAGAAATGTTGGTATATATCTATAATCTCTCAATTCAAAAGTTAATTGAGATACATGTATATACTAGTATATGATACATAAAGATGTATGACATATGAAGAAGTATCATATATACATATGTTTGATATACATGTATGTGTTTGATATATGCAGATGCATTTGATATACACCATACATGTGTATGATTTATACAGGTATATGATGTATTAATTATTATATATAAAATTGTTTCACATCTCATAAAATATAACCAATGCACTTTCAGCATTTGAACCACCAGATTGTCCAATAGAAATTGTTACTGGGTCAAATCTCATCAATATAGCCTCATTTTTCAGTCATTGAATTGTAGATTTTGAATTTACTGGTCCGAATTCCAGTTTTGAATTTATTCTACTAAATATTTAACTAAATTTTCTTACAATTTACACTGGCCCGAGCTAATTTTCACTGGCCATGGGCCACCGGGCCAGTGCTAAAATTGATGACTGATTTTTATTTCATGAGTCTAAAAGGTTCTTATCAAATCCATGTTGCATAATTATATAGCCTTGTTTTTAGAGTCTTTATCAAATCCTTATCGAAATTAAAGTACCAAAGATCTGTCAAAAAGTCAAAACATGGTGCTTTGAAATAAAGTGGTCATTATATTTTGATGAGTACAATACTGATCCTATTGGGCTCTTACACAGCTGCAAATCCTATATCAGACTCAGTTAGAGCCTCATCAAATATAGTCTTGACAGATGTTTACTCATGCAATAGAATTCAGTTTTGTACTCAACAATGTATAACAATCTAGCTAATAGTGTATGAAATATACAGGTAACCGTATATTGTACAACTTACTTATCTAAAAGTTAAGAGTCCATAAAGAATAAATAAACGACTTAAGAAATATGCTATCAAAAACTAAAAGATACTAGTAACCCTGTACACTACTTTTTTACCTGGAGATAGGCCTCTAAAAGTACCCGTCTTTGTTCTACGATCTTCTGGTTAAACTTAAGAACTTTTTTGGGTGGGAATTCCGGGGTTTCTATAAGCTTCTTTAGCTGTTTGTGTAATTCCTCAAACTCTGAGTATCTCTTCTGTAGGGTATGACAGCTGCCACTTTGGAATACATCCACTCTGTATGCCTAGATTGGGATTAAATTAAAACAATATTTCATTAAAAATAAATATACAATAATTATAAGATATTATCCTGGTCTGAGTTACACACCCTGTAAATATTTTGGCCAGAAGTGTGTGATTTTTGTTACATACAACACAACAGTACTGTTTGTACAGGGACATTCAGTAGTATTAAATTATGTTCTGGGAGCTGAAGTACTTTGGGCTGCAAGATACTAAATTCCCTCAGATACTTCACCCTTACCCTTCCAATAAAGTACATTGTACATGTTGTAGCTCCCTTGTCAACATCGTATAATAGATTCTCATAAAAAAATTTTGTTCCTGTATATCAGATATCTGTCTTATGTGTGATATTTTATTTTACTCATTGGGTTTTTTAAAAGAAGACTTTTCAACTTTTTACTATTCACATATAGTTAAAAACAATGACATCTCTGGGGCGGGGCCAGTTTTGACCCTAGGGCTTTTATTTGAACAAACTTTGTAGACACTTACTAGAAGATGTTTCATGCTTAATATCTTAACTCTAGCTATTTGGGTTTTTTCCAAGTTTTTGCCATACACATATAAGGAAAATCAATGACCGCCGGGGCGGGGCCAATTTTGACCCCATGGCTTTTATTTGAACAAACTTTGTAGACACTCACTAGAAAATGTTTCATGCTTAATATCTAAACTCTAGCTATTTGGGTTCTTTAAAAGAAGATTTTTTAAGTTTTTCCTTATACACACACATAAGGAAAATCAATGACCCCCGGGGCGGGGCCAATTTTGACCCCAGGGCTTTTATTTGAATAAACTTTGTAGACACCCATTAGAACATGTTTCATGCTAAATATCTTAGCTCTAGCTCAAAAGAATTTTTTTAAGTTTTTACTATATGCATATAGGGAAAATCAATGACCCCCTGGGGCAGGGCCAATTTTGACCCCAGGGCTTTTATTTGAACAAACTTGGTAGACACTCATTAGAAGATGTTTCATGCTAAATATCTTAGCTCTAGCTCTTTGGGTTCTTTAAAAGAAGATTTATTAAGTTTTTATTATATGCATATAGGGAAAATCAATGACACCCTGGGGCGGGGCCAATTTTGACCCCAGGGCTTTTATTTGAATAAACTTGGTAGACACTCACTAGAAGATGTTTCATGCCAAATATCTAAGCTCTAGCTCTTTGGGTTTTTTAAAAGAAGATATTTAAAGTTTTTTCTTTCGGTTGCCATGGCAACCAGAGTTCTGCATGGAATTAAATTCTTTGAACAATTTTTAAAGGTGCCCAACAAAGGAACATTCCTGTGAAGTTTGGATGAAATTGGCTTGGTGGTTTATGAGGAGATGTCATTTAAAGTAAAAGTTTACGGACGGATGGACGACGGACGGACGAAAAGCGATCACAAAAGCTCACCCTGTCACTTTGTGACAGATGAGCTAACAAAAACATAAACACGGAAAAAGTGTGTGTTTTACTTTTAATTGAAAAAAAATAGGTTAAGGGCCACTCACTTTTAGAGCAAACTAGAGGATGCTTTTGTAAAAAAGCGCATGTCTCCCCCACTGCTGAGAATAACTGTGAATGGAAACAGGAATGGAAATGGAGAAATCCGGAAATGAGAAAATGACCAATGGTCACTGTGACCTTAACCTTTTGACCTACTGACCCCATAAACAAGAGGGATCATCTGCTCAATAAGACCAATCATCCTATGAAGTTTGAGGGTTGTAGGTCTAAAGGAACTCTAGTTTATCATCCGCGAAAGGAGAAATTAACAACGGTCGCTGTGACCTTGACCTTTGACCTACTGACCATTAAAAACAATAGGGATCATTTGATTAATAAGACCAATCATCCTATGAAGTTTGAGGGTTGTAGGTCAAAAGGAAACTCTAGTTATCATCCGGAAATGAGAAATTGACCAACGGTCACTGTGACCTTGACCTTTGACCTACTGACCCCCAAAAACAATAGGGATCATCTGCTCTATAAGACCAATCATCCTATGAAGTTTGAGGCTGTAGGTCAAAAGGAACTCTAGTTATCATCCGGAAACGAGAATTGACCAACGGTCACTGTGACCTTGACCTTTGAACTACTGACCCCAAAAACAATAGGGATCATCTGCTCAATAAGACCAATCATCCTATGAAGTTTGAGGTCTGTAGGTCTAAAGGAACTCTAGTTATCATCCGGAAACGAGAAATTGACCAACGGTCAGTGTGACCTTGACCTTTGACCTACTGACCCCAAAAACAATAGGGATCATCAGCTCTATAAGACCAATCATCCTATGAAGTTTGAGGGCTGTAGGTTTTTTTTTTTTTTTTTTTTTTTTTTTTTTTTTTTTTTTTTTTTTTTTTTTTTTTTTTTTTTTTTTTTTTTTTTTTTTTTTTTTTTTTTTTTTTTTTTTTTTTTTTTTTTTTTTATTTTTTTTTTTTTTTTTTTTTTTTTTTTTTTGTTTTTTTTTTTTTTTTTTTTTTTTTTTTTTTTTTTTTTTCAAAAGGAACTCTAGTTATCGTCCGGAAACGAAGAATGGACGGACTGACGGACTGACGGACGGACTGACGGACTGACGGACAGGGCAAAAACAATATGTCTCCCCCCGAGGTGGGGGAGACATAATTAGCAGAATTTTCAACTTAAGAAAAAATAGTAATCAAACATGAATTGAATCAGAAATAATTAAATTGGCATGCCTGAAATCAAATAGAACATTGGGTGAATTGTTGCAGCCCTGGTTATCATAATTTAGATAATGCAGAATTGCATTATTTAACTTGTGGCAGGTTCAAGTTTTGTGAATTCAAAGGTACAGAAAGTGGTTAACTTCAACATTGTCGTCTGAGTGGTGACTATTACAACACTAAAACACGACTGTAGATCAGTTCACACAGTCTTCAATTCAGCAGAACCCCTGGATTAGACAGTTGAATTAAAAAATTGAAAATTGTAGGCCGGGTAACTTATCTTATCTAATTGTAACAAGAGGGCCATGATGGCCCAAAGTCGCTCACCTGTATATAGGCCCCCCGGAGCGGGGCCAGTTTAAACCCCAGGGCTTTTATTTGAACAAACTTGGTTGACACCCATTAGAAGATGTTTCATGCTAAACATCTAAGGTCTAGCTTATTGGGTTTTCTAAAAGAAGATTTTTTATGTCTATATATATATACACTTAACAAATCTTATAAGTGTGCACATTTTATGTCCTTATAACTTTTTTGTGTATCAATATATTTTTCCAAAATTTTGTGTTCTGGCTAATGGCTGCATTTCCACACTTTTCATGTGCTCAAGCTTGTTTTTTTCAATTATGAGGTGCGTTCAACCATGAACGAACGAAATTCACACAATGCACGAAAAAAATTGTGAGAATGGGTGAAATAAAATTGCACATGATATTCTCGGATACGATAGAGATCAACATATCAGAAAAACACCACATAGGTAGATTATCTATACAACAGCGTGGCATAGCCCTAAGATTGGTCAACGCTGGTGTACACCAAACAGAGGTTGGTAACAATCATTTGTTTGAATAATTATTCTAATTCCTTTGCATTGTAAAAGCCGAAAATCATTTAAATTCTGTTTCTACCTACATTTAAGACGAACATTTTTATTTAGTTATTACTTGTCTGTGTCATTTGTAGGTTGCACCTCGCATGGTGTACACCGAAATACCATAAGAAGGCTAATCATTAAGAACACAGCAACTTCGTTGGTAACCTTCTTCACCGACCCCAAAATTATCTACAACGGTATGTAACATTGATGCGACGACAATGCCAGGTTGTAATACACAGTCAGAGTGGGCACACGCGATAAAAGGACATCATTTTGCAACATCGACTTTCGACAAACATTCACATTTTTTAAAAATACATCTTAAATTTGTATCTTGAATGAAGAATACTGAATAAAAATGATAACATGTCTCTTTTCTGCATTTATTGAAAATTTCAGCATGATCGAACAAATATTGATACACCTATGAAACCATTTATACATGCACACTTATAAGATTTGTTAAGTGTATATATAAATATATTATGTATATACATATTATATATATATACAGTATATATATATATATATATATATTATATATATATATATATATATATATATATATATATATATATATATATATGTGTGTGTGTATGTTATGATATATATATACATACACAATATTGGTTCCTTACATATATATATATACATACATATATATATATTAAGATATATATATATAATATATATAATATATATAATATGTATATATATATATATATATATATATAATATGTATATATATATATATGTATGTATATATATAATATGTATATATCTAAAAAAAAAGTCGAGCTAATGAATGACCCCGGGGCGGGCCAATTTTGACCCCAGGCTTATTTGAATGAACATGGTAGACATCCATTAGAACATGTTTCATGCTAAATATCTTTAGCTCTAGCTCTTTGGGTTCTTTCAAAGAAAATTTTTTTAGTTTTACTATATGCATATAGGGAAAATCAATGACCCCCTGGGGCGGGGCCAATTTTGACCCCAGGGCTTTTATTTGAACAAACTTGGTAGACACCCATTAGAAGATGTTTTATGCTAAATATCTTAGCTCTAGCTCTTTGGGTTCTTTAAAAGAAGATTTTTTAAGTTTTTACATATACATATAAGGAAAATCAATGACCCCCAGGGCGGGGCCGATTTTTAATTCTAGGAACAAAATTTGAACAACTTTGGTTTTGGATCTATAGATGATACCATAGACCAAATATCAAAGCTCTAGGCCATTTACTTTCAGACCATAAATTTTTCAAGTTTTCACTATATGTATATAATGAAAAATCAATGACCCCCGAGGGCGGGGCCAATTTTGACCCGAGGGCCATTATTTGAACAATTTTGGTAAAGGTCTACCACACAATGTTTCATGCCAAATATCTTACCTGTAGCCTTTGCCAATTCAGAGAAGAAGATTTTTTATGTTTTT